TACTTTATCTCCTATTTCAATACCAAGGTATTTATAATGATTGTCATTAGTTACTCTTGGTAGTTCATCTAGTTCACCATTTATTTGACTATTAATATTAGTCATTATCCCACTTTTTTCTACATTAATTTTTAATCCTATTGCATTAAATATTTCTTTAGTTAATTTGTGTGATTTTTCCATTTCATCGAGACTATTATTCATTATATTTAAATCATCCATATACAATATGTGATTTAACTTGACTTGTTTTTCTTCTCCATTCATTTTAATATTTAATTTGTTAATTTGTTTATCTAATTGTTTAGATAGTATGTCAATAGATAATACAAATAAAAGTGGAGATAGGCTGTCACCTTGTATTATTCCTCTTTCTACATTAATCATACCTACACTTTCTTGATTAAAATATAAATTAAGACATGTATTATTTAATATATATAATATACTATTAATTACTGCTAGTGGGATATTAAAATAAATTAAACATTGTTTAATCCATTGATGATTAATACTATCATATGCTTTGGAGACGTCATAATATGTTTCTACCCACTTCAATTTAGCCTTTAATAATAATTGTTGGATTATAGTGTTATATAATAATCCTTCTTTTGATGATATGTATATTTCTTATATCAAAATTGATTTAATGATAGTTGTTTTTCAATTTGATTTAACATCAGCTGGATTTCTATTTTCATTTTTAATATTGATGTATACACTTTTAACAGACAATTTAAACAAGTTATTGGTCTGTAATTCTGTGGGTCTAGTTTATCTCATTTCTTATATATTAATATTGTTCTTCCTTGAATAAAATGAAGAGGTATTTCATTAGGATTGTTTAACCATTCATTAAATAATTTTATTAAATACTTCTTTGGTTGTTCTAAATATTTAATCCAAAATCCTTGTATTTTATCAGTTTTATTTTATTTTCAAATTATCAATGTATTTAATAGCACACTCTAGTTCATTGGGAGTGATTATTGATATTCTATTATTAATTCTATTTTCTATTAATATTTCATATAAATTAATATTCAGGAAATCTATATTGGTGTTAGTTTCATAGATTCATTTCCAGAAATTAATAGTGGAGATATTATCTGGATATTCATCCTCTTTAGATTTATTTAGATGTTGCCTTTTTCCATATTTCATCATTTTATATTTCAATCTTATTCTTTTCCAATTATTCTTTCTTGCTTCTATTTCTATTATTTTCATCATTCGGAGGTATTTATAATAGTTTATTTGTTCTATTGTTTTTATTTTAATATGATATATATCATATTTCTCAATATGTAATATTCTTTTTAATTTCATATATTGTTTATTATGGAGTAAATCTCTTATTCTACATATTTTTGTTTGTATTATTCTTTCTATACTTCTCTTTCCACTTCTTTCTTGTTTATTTTTATTAATTATGTTAATAGTGGAAGCTACAGATTTAATATAATGATAATAATCATCTAATGTATTGATTAATATTTCATTTTTATTAATAATATTGATTATTTGATGTACTTTCTTCTTATTGTAATAATAATTAATAAATTGTATATCTTCATGTTCTTTCATTTCTTCTTCTTTAAATATTTTCATTACCTCCTCTTCTTCTATTTCTTCTTTCTTGTTCATTTTGGTTATTATTTATTTTAATTCATTATCTTTCCATTGGTGCTTTATTATTTCTTCTTCCATTATTCTATTTATTTCTCTTTTAATTTCATTCTTTATTTTAAATGTCTTCTTTATTATTTCTTTATATTCATTAATATCATTTACTTTAATTCCAAATTCTTGTATTAATCTTTCTATTATTTCTTCTTTAAGTTGACCTCTTAATTTTCTTTCAAACATTTTTAAAGCAAAACATTTATAAAGTGTTAAAATTTCTTCTTTTCTATCTGTTTGCTTCCCCCGTTTTTTTGCTTGTCTAATTCTAATGTGGTGATCTTCTTATGCTGAATATCCATTTCTTCAATGGATTTCTGCGTTAACTTTCTTTTTTTTTTGGAAGATCATCTTCACTTGATGATATTTCATCAACTACTACCACATTGGGGTGAGGTCATTTACTATTTGTGTTTCTGATGAGTCTGTTATATTGTAAGTTACCTCATCTTTCTTTTTTTCTTCCTGTGTATTTTTATTTTCTAATTTAGATAATGTATCTTTCAGGAAGAGTAGTTGTTGTGTTAAATTGTTTACTTCAGACCTTTTTCTTTCAGATTCAGCATGGAATTTGAATATTTTTATCACACTCGTGGTTTTTTTGTGCTTATCTCATTCTCATGCTTCTTCTTTAATGCCATAATATCCTTAGTTAGTTTTTTTATGGTTTATTCTTTTATTTGTATTTCCTTTTTCATTTCTTCTTTCTCTTTCATATCCTCCTCCACTTTCTTTTCTATTTCTTCTACTCTTTTTTTTTCTTTTTACTGTTTTCTTCTTCCTTTTCTACCAGCCTCTTCTTCTCTCCTTTAGTGATCTTCTTCTCCTCAGCAAGCCTCTTCTCCTCTTCTTCTAGCCTCTTCTTCTCCTCAGCAAGCCTAGCTTCTACTCTCGTAGAATCTTTGTCATCGTCTTCTTCACTTTCAATACTCATTACATAGTTATTGTATATTCTATTATCTTTAATCTCATTTGGGTTGTATTGATTATTGTCTTCAATCCTTCGTATTAATAGTTTCTTCTTCCATTCTGTTTGTTTTTGTTTTGTTTTTTCTCGTGCAAGAAAATACCATCTTCTCCATATTGTTGGTGATGTATATTCTTTAATCTTGGTATTTTTAATTTCTTCTACTTCTTGTGGTGTAAGTATTTTAATTTCTTCTTCAAAGAGTTTTTTCCATTATTCTTGGTTTTGTATTTTAATCATTTCTTTTCTTTGATTTCTATTTTGTTTCTTATTTTGATATTGTTTGTACCTTCTTTGTGTGTTATTATGGTATTTATTTCTATTATATTGATATTGTTTATTTCTATTGAAGTTATTATTAAAGTGTTTATGACGATGATTATGATTGAAGTGATGAGTGAAACGATTTGTATCATCTATGTTGTGATATTTATGGTAATAATTATTATTGTAATGATTAGTGTGAATATTCATGTATCTCTGTCCATACAGATAATACCTATTTTCACTCATTCTTCTGTCATTTATATTTCTTGGTTGATGTGAATTTCTTCTTTTTTGGTTATTTGTTTTTTTATATTTTTTGTGGTGTCTCCTGTAATGCATCTTTTTTTTTTCATAAATAAAGAAGAAAAAAAAAGAATAATAAAAAAGAATTTGATCAAAAAATTGAATTACTTATTTTGGGAAGTAATAAGATGATTTATCATGGAAATAAATTTGAGGATATAACTTATTCTCTTTAACAATAGTGTAAATTTGTTCTGGAATTGGATATTCAACTTCATCTTCTTTATCCTCTGGATTAGGGAATGAAATGTTAACAGCATCACATTTTGATGTATTAACAGTAGTATTACCATCAAGAGCTTTTTCAGACAAATGAACATTAACTGATTGTGATTTATCAATGTTGACAGTTGGTGTTAATTCAATAACTCTAATATCAATTGAGTTACAATTAATAACTTCAACATATGAAACAATGGTATCACAAATTAAAGTAAGTTTCTTACATCCATCAACTGAAATACAATTGATCTTTCCATTAACTTTAACTGCTGAATTTTCACATTTGAATATATAAATAGAGTCTTGGAAAGTACCATCAATTTCAATATTCTTATTGCCATTATGATATGAAATATCCCATTTATTAAGATTCTTTTCAATCTTTGGTGGTTTTTGAACTACTGATTTAGCTGTTGCTGGTTTTGGTGTGTTAGTGGTAACTTTCTTTGGTTCAAGTGGAACTTTATCCTCTGGTTTCATATTCTTAGTTTTCATATCAGCAGTAACATGTTTAAGTCCTCCAGAAATAGCTGTTCCTTTATTTAATTCAGCAAATAAACCAGCTGGATTTGGTTGTTGTTGTTTAACAACAGGTTTAGGTTCTTCTTTTGGTGTTTCAACTTTTGGTGCAACAGGAGCAGCTTGTGCAGAAGCAACACCTCCTTTTGGATTCCAAGTAAGTCCAGTAGTATGATATTGTTTAATATAAACAACCATTTCTTTTAAGAATTTAATGAAATTAAGTGCCCAATCATATTTATTTTGTTCTTTTCCTTTAGTAGCAACAAGGACTTTATTAGTATAAAATTCTGATCCTGGAATAAGATCTGCAACATATGGTGCTGGTGTTTTTTCAACACAAATCCATCCAAATACTGGAACAGCTTCTCCAATAGCACTAAGATAATTAATATATGGACTCTTGAAATTTTTATCTTTATATTCTCCAACAGCCATCATCTTCTCAGAAATTGGTTGAATCATTTTTTGGAACTCTTCTTGTGTTGGTTTTTGTGATTTTGCTGCAACTTCAATTAATCCTGACACTTGTTCTGCAACATTAAGGAAGTCATTCATACATTTCCCAAGAATTTCATCAAATCCTTGTGCAGCTTCAACTTGTGGTTTAAGATATTCTTCAATAAGTTCTTTAAATGCTTGAACTGCCTTTGGAACATCACCACATTCACATGTTGAATTACTTGTAGATGATTTAGTACTATTAGTAGTATTTCCTTCTAATTTTTCTAATCTTGCTGTTACTGTTTCAAGTCTATTCATGACTTGAGCAAGAAGAGTTTTTAATTCTGCTTCAGTTGACATAAGACTATTTTACTATTTTTTAATTCAAGTTCCTTTTTGAACTTCTTTTTGATTTTTTAGTTTGACGTTCATATTTTTAGTTTTCTTTTTATTCTTTTAACTTTCTTCTAATTTTATTTGTTAATTCAATTAACTCTTTTTTCTCTCTTTTTATTCTTTTCTTTTCAAATTTAAAAAAAAAATTTTATTTAATTTTCTTTTTTTTTAACAATGTTTTAACAATGAAAATCATTTAAAGCTCTTCTTTGTTTTCTTCTTTCTTAATTTCTTCTTTAGTCTCTTCTTCTTTTTGTTTTTCTGCTTCTTTTTTAGCTTCTTCTTCTTTTTGTTTTTCTGCTTCTTTTATTTCGTCTCTCATTTTCTTTTCAGCTGCATTTCTTTCTAAAATAACTTTAGCTTCTTTTTCTGCTTCTTCAATATCATCGGTAATTAAAATATCATCATAAATAGTTCCTGCTTTAACTTGCCAAACATCAATTCCAATATAAGCAAATGAATCATATTTATACAATTCTGGGTCATAAACATAGTCTGGATTTGCAATTTGTGGATGTACCCATTCTCCTTTATATGCTGGATTAGGAATTCTCTTAGGCTTCCATTCTCCTTTATATTCTGGATTTTCAATTGTTGGTGCTTCCCATTCTCCATCATCTTCATCATTCCATTCTTCTGGTTTCTTAGCATTTGGATCAACAATAGTTTTAGGAATATCATCCCATCCTTCTGGTTTCTTATCATTTGGATCATCAATTTCCTTTTCATCAACCCAATCAGCTGGTTTTGAGACATTTGGATCATCAATTTCTTTTGGTGCTAACATATCCCAATCTTCATCAAACTTTCCTTCTTGTTTTTCTACTCCATCAATTTTAACTACATAGGTATTATTTGGTCTAATAATTAATGTGTATAAATGTGAAATATCATCTGATTCACATTTAATTTCTTTTCTAATTAAATTATTCTTTCCTTTATAATTCATAATAACATGTGTTCTTTTTGATCCTCCACATACATCTGGTCCAAACATAATATTATATTCAGATTCAGGTGTAAATTTCTCTTCACTTTCAATTGATTTCTTTGGAAGTAATTTAATATATCCTCCTCCACAATCAATTCCTTGTTCAAATTTAAGATTGTATTGAACAATCAAATTTTTATCTTTATTACTAAACTCTTCATCAAGTTTAGCTGCTGCAATATAAAATTTGTTGTCTTCTGATGTTTGAAGTCCTTTATTATTAGCATCTCCATACCATTTCCCACTTACTATTTTAAATGGTCCTAATGCCTTTCCTGAAGATGTTGAATCGATCCATTTGTCTCGATTCTCAAATGTTTCATGGAAATAAACCTTAGCACTGCTTAGTGCAATGAGAAGGAAAAGAGTAAACATGTTTTATGTTTTTATTTCTTGTAGTTCTTTTTATTGTTTCGCCACGTAACAATTGTGTGGCACCTTTTGAGCATATTTCTTATTTCTACTTTATTTCTTTACTTATTTTATTGTTGACTTTGGTCTCAAGACATATACCGTCAATTGGTCATTCTTTAGATAATTACTCATTGTTATAGAATAACGATATTGTCATAAATTTTATTAGGAGAAAAAAGTGATAAAAGATAAGTTCTGACTATTTCAAAATTCAAAAAATATCAAATTTTTTAGTCCTTTTTTATTTCTTTTGATTTATTATTTAACTTTGAATGTTTTAAAATGTTATATATATCATATTAATATCGTGACAAAATAAAAATATTTTTTAAATTGTTTATTCTTTTAAGATTGAAACTAAATGAAATTTCATTGTTTTTCATTTCTTTTAAAATTACTTGAAATTAATTCATTTATTCTCAATAAAAAAAAATAACAAAATAAATTCTTTTGTTAAATAACACAATTTCATATAATTTTACTTAATATTCCATCTAGTTTATTAATACGTATATGTTTGACTTTATTAATTAGAGAAAGAAGAAATAGTGTGTTTTGATAGCTACTTTATTATTTTCATAACAAATTTGTCTTGAAAGAAATAAAAATCAATATCCATAAATTTGTTTAAACTCTCTATATAAAATTTCTCACTTTCATATAACAACTCTTATTCGATAATTCAATAATTATTTGTTTTTATACTTTTTAATGTATTATGAAACTATTTCAAACTAACATAAACACTTTTATTGAAAAACAATAAACTTATTTTTAAATATTAAAATTAAATAAAATTATTGAAAAACAATAAAACAATAATAAAAAGAAAAAGTGATATAAAAAACTGTTTTTTTTTTTAAATCTATTATTTTTAAATATTGAAAGAAACAAAAAGTATAAAGTAAAGAATATGACTCTCACTTTTTACATAACTTAATGATGGAATATTATATATTATTTTTGAAGAAAATTTTAAAAGATTTAATTGAAAATAGAAATAACAAATTTAATTAAAATGTGTTTTTCATTGTTAACAAAATTTTTGGTAAAACACTATTCAACCTTTTTAATAAGTCTTTGTCGAATCCAAAAGGAGTAAGTGATGGCCATTCTACTAAAACCGAATTTGAGTTTTCATGGATTAAAATATAAGGTACATTTTCTTTAATACAAAATTCTTCCTCTATTTTTTGTTCAACAACTTCCTTAACACTCTCTTGTTTGGTTTCATCTTTAACTTCATTTTTATTTTCATCTTTACTTTTTTCATCTTTAATTTCATCTTTCTGTTGTTCATCGTTAGTTTCATTTTTTGAAATTAAATCTTTGTTTATTTGATTAATATTGTCATATGCTTTTTGGACGTCATCTTTATTTTTTAAAATCATAGCAGATTCAAATTTATTTGATAAGAGATCAAGTACTAAATCAAGACTAACATCTTCAAGTTGAGGAATTTTTCTTGGACGGTCTTTTTTTTCACTAATACCCATTTCAAGTAATAGAACAATGATGTGATCAATTAGGATATCAGTAATAATATCATTTTGCCAAGATATACAAAGATCATTATTTTCATATTTAATTTGAATTCCTTTAATTTGGGCAGTATTGTTTTCTTCATTAAATATAGTTTCAGGATAAAATCCTTTAAGAATATCTATTGTTTCTTTAAGTGGTATTAAACAAGGAAAATATAAATGTTGATAAATTTCATTTGAGTGGAAAGAAGAAAACCTTTCAACATCTTTTGCTTTTACAACAACAGTGTCAACATCTTTTGTATTTTGTAAATAAACTGCATTAAAAATAATTTCTTTCTCTTTCTTTTCTTCTTCCATTTTTAAAATATTTGATGCAATTTCACCTAATAATCTAACTTCATGTTTTGGTTGAATAGGAATTTTAATTGGTTGAGTATTACAAGGCATATAAATATTAAGTTCAGGATATTCTTTTTTTAATGCATTATGTAATTGTTCCATTGATTTACCTTCACCATGAATAAGAACAAGATGTTTTGGTTTAACATTACCAATAAATTTACGGGTATGAGCAAAATCACTATGAGCACAAAAACTTATTTCAGTTACTGAACATTTTGGAACAACTTGATCTCCTTCTGAATTAATAAATGGTTTTGTACTATCCAAAATTAAGTCTTTTGCTAAAGTTCCTTCAACACAATATCCAGGAATAATAACTCCATTCTTTTTATCAGTACACCATCTTTCAAATATCTTTCTAGATATACCATCTTGTAACATTCCAGGAGATGCCATTACTACACATGGTTTATAATCAATAGCTCCATCATCAACACTAGAACTACCTTCTCTAATAAATTTAAAATCAAATGCTTGTTTTGTTTTCTTTCTTAATTCTTGATTCATAAATGATGTAAACTTTTCAAAATACGTTGTACATTTTTTTGCAATTGATGAAAAGAAAAAAATCGAAACTGACCAAAGATCTTTATGATTTTGCCAATACTCTTCTAATATAAGTTCAAATTCTTGAGCTCTTCCTAATGAAAATACAGGAATTAAACATTTTCCTCCTCGTTTTAATATTTCAATAATTTGACGAATAAATGCATTTTCACGATCTATTCGTGATTCTTGTTCAATAATTCCATACGTACTTTCACACATCATCACATCTATTTGAAATGGTGGTACTTCTGCAGCTTGTAAATGCCTATCTGTTTCTCCAGAAAAGTCTCCAGTATATAATATTTTTACTCCATTAATTTCAATACAAAACATTGCAGCTCCAAGAATATGACCAGCATTAAAACACCATATTTTCATTCCATTGTATTCTTGTAATTCATGAAATTTAATTGTATCTATTCTATCTATTACTTCTTTTGGATTAACAGATTTTGGTGGTTGTATTGTTGATGACATTTGATGAAATTCTTTAAAGAGCTCCCCAAAAATTTCTTTAGTTGGAGGGGTCATTAACACTTTTCCTTTAAATTGTCTTTCTAATATAAGATATGGCAATGATGCACAATGATCTACATGATAATGTGTAACACATAATAATTCAATAGAATCAATATCTGCATGTTCAAATAAAGGAAGTGCTGCTTCTCCATGAGGTTTTGCAGGATGAACACCACAATCTAACATAATATTATGGCCCATATACTTTAATATAAAACAAGACCTACCAACTTCTCTTCCCGCTCCAAGAGGACGAATTTCCAAATAATTACCATTAATCAAAGTGCTTTGAATTTCATTATCTAAAACAACGGTTGTACTCATAATGAAGGTTTATTACTTTTAAATTAAAAAGTTCTTTAAAAAAAAAAAGATTTAAATTAATTTTGATGGACCATTTTTTCTGTTTCAATAAGGAAACATGTATCATTAACCAACGTAAGTAATTGTTTAATATCTTCTGTCCAAATATCTAAAACTTCTTTAGGATCTTTTGATTTAACAAAAGAAACAATTCCTTTAGGTCTATTAATTTTGGCATAAATTTGTTTCAAATTAACAAGGGCACATATTTGTTTTTCTAATTCTTCTAATGAAATACCAAGAAGTTGAGAGAAACGAGAAAGAGTAATATCATGATAATATTTGGCAATCATTCTAATATTATGTTGGGTAATTTGTAATTTAAGATGATTACTAATTTCATCAGATGAAATATTAAGATGACTTAAACATTCAGAATTATATAATTGAACATATACTGGAATCCATTTATTAGAATCAATAACTTCTTCTGTAAGGAACATTTGAACAGCAGTTTGATAAGGAGGGAAATTTTCTAATTCACGAATTGATTTTAATCTAACTAATAAGTCTTTTTTTTCAGGAATAAAATCAGCACAAATTAAAAATATAACAGATAATTTTAATGCAAGTGAAGAATCTAAACAATACTCTTGTTTTCTTAAAAATTTATTTTCACTAATTTCCATTTTAAGTTCAGAAGATAAAGACTTTAATGTATCATAAATCATTAACATCATTCTACAATTCTCAATATAATTATTTTCATGAATATTATATTGAATCATTAATCTACAAAATTCTAATCTTAATTCTTCAAATCCTTCACTTTGAATAGTTGTTCTATTAACTTTATTAGATAATAATAATACTCTTAAATAATCTTCACATTCTAATGCAATTCTAAATTGAACTAACAAAAAATCCATTCTTTCTTTTTTATCTAATGAGGTAAATGTTTCAATATGCATACTTTGCATTATTTGAGTTGCTTCATCTAATCTTTTATTCTCTTCAAGATATAATGCGAAGTCTTTTACTATTTGTGCTCTTAAAACATCAACAAAAACTTTTCCTTCAGTTTGTGTACAAATTGTTTTTGCTAATAATTCATAACCTTTAACATTTTTATTCTTTAATTCAGGAATATAACTTGAACATATTTGAACAGCTTTTGTAATTGCTGTTTTTTGTTGTGCTCTTCTTCCTAAAATAAAATTAAAAACATCAACAACACTTTCTACTGTTTTATATTTCCATGCATTTGACAATAATCCTTCTACAACTTTAAGTAATAAATCTGTTTTTTCTTCATTTCTAGCATATTTTTCTATAGCAATAAGATTAGAATAAGCAGCATCATAATCACTTGAGGCAAGTGATTGACAAGATTCTACTTCATTGATGGTATGTTCAATTTCCATTTTTTAACTTTCCTTTTTAAGATTTAATTTTTCTCGATGAAGTTTTAAGTTTTTTAAATTTTCTTTTTTATATTTTTAGAGATTTGTTCAAAAAAGTTTTTGAAAGGAAGTTAAAAAACTGTTATTTCATAAGTGTATTGTTTTAAAAAAAAAATTAATTTAAAAGTTTTAGCTACAATTATTAAAACCTAATAATTAAAAATTCAGTTCTAAATCAATGAAAGGTATTGAAGTTCATAAACAAAAGGTAAAAAAATTTGAACGTCCTAAATTACAAAAGTATGAAAGTGTAGCAAGTTGTACTCCTGCGAATGGTGAGTTGTTTGTAAGTTTATTAGATTTAAATTTTTTTAAAGTGAGATATTGATTTGTTATAGCTTAAAAACACACCAAGAATATACTCCAGTTAATTTAGGAAAACGAACAATAGATACACATTATAATGTTGAAACTCGTTTATTACAAAAGAATGTTCTCTTTAATCAAGATGGTAGTATTAATTTGACATTATTAAAGAACCATTTTCAAAGAGAAGGTAAATTAACAGTAGAATGTGCAGCAGAATTAATTTCAAGAGCAAAAACAATTCTTAGTAGTGAACCTAATTTATTAGTTCTTCAAGCACCTATTTATGTATGTGGAGATATTCATGGACAATTTTATGATTTATTAACTATTTTTGATATTACAAAAAATGAAGATTGTAGTTATGTGTTTATGGGTGATTATGTTGATAGAGGAGATTTTGGTTGTGAAGTCCTTTTTTATCTTTTAGCTCAAAAATTAATGAATCCAAAAAAATTCTTTTTACTTCGTGGAAATCACGAAAGTAGAATGATGACAGAAAATATGACATTTAATATTGAGTGTGAATATAAATATAACTCAGTTGAATTACTTGATCAAATTCATTCTCTCTTTGATTGTTTCCCATTAGCTGCTTTAATTGAAGGAAATGGATTAGGAAGATTTTTATGTACCCATGGAGGTATTTCACCTCAACTTCAAAAATTATCACAATATAATGAAATTAATAGATTTCAAGAACCACCTACAAGTGGTGCTATGTGTGATTTATTATGGTCTGACCCATTAGACCAACCACATCCAGAATCAATGGATAAAAGAAGATTAGAAGCATGGTTAAATACTGATTTTGTTGATAATACATTAAGACAAACATCAGTTATGTATGGACTCAGAGGATTATTAAATTTTTTAAATAAAAATGATTTAATTTGTTTAGTTAGAGCACACCAAGTAATGGAAGATGGATTTAAATTACATTATTTTATGCAAAATATTGATCTCCCTCCATGTATTACAGTATTTTCTGCACCAAATTATTGTGATGCCTATCAAAATAAAGCCTCAGTATTAAAAATTAACACTGAAAATATATGTTTTGAACAATTTGAATATGTTGATCATCCATTTAATTTCCCAGATTTCTTAGACTGTTTTAATTATTCATTACCAACATTAATGGAAAGTATTGTTACTGTACTTTCAGAATTAGTTGTTGAAGTTAAAGAAGAAGAAGAAACAGATATAAAACCAGAAGAGAAACAAGCAGATGCAGAATTAAAAGCAAAAATTGATTTATTAAAAGAAAAAACAGAAAAAGAGTATAAAGAGAAAAAACAAATTCTTGACTTAAAAAAAGAAATTAAAGCAATGAAAACAGTTAATAAAGATTGGTTTGATAAAGTACTTAGAATTGATAAGAAAAATGAAATGAGACCCAGGTCAGTTAGTCTTGGAAAAGTTACTAGTAGACCAAGAAATGTCAGAACTGTTTCTGACTCACATCTTTTTATGCCATTTGAAGGACAAATTTAATTCATTAATTTAAAAACAAATTCTGTTAATTAAACAATAATAAAAATTAATTAAAAATGTTCAAACTTTGTGTGTTTTTTAATCCATTTATTAAAGTATGGGATAGTCAATAAAAAGAATAAAGCACAGTATAATATTAAGTAAAATATATTAAATAAAATAAAAATATCACCAAGTACCATTAAAGTTTTTGAACTTTTTTCATACTCAACAATAGTCATACATTGTGAACATTTTGAATCTAAAATATTTTGATCTGGTATAAAATATTGACATTTACAATTATCAGAATATATCATATGTTTATTTTCTGAATATACTTCAAAACAACATGATTGCTAAGATATTATTAAAATGCTATTTTATTCATTTCATTTTTTTTTTATCGTTCTTTTAACAAACTTTTGTTTCAATTATTCCTCTTTCTTGTTCAGTTAATATAATATCATACCCCTTTAAAAATCCAAAACTTGTGAAGAATAATCCAATAAATGAAATAATAATAATTACCATCACAATTCCTAATAAGAAAAGTAATAAATGATTTATTATTTTACATAAACTTCCTTTAATTAATTGAATTATTGAAATTATCATTGAAAAAATAATTATTACAATACATGATACACTTGAAATTATTGATAGTAATGCTATTATATAATATACTTCAATTTTATCACTATATATTTCACTCATATTAATAGAGTATATATTCAAAACCAAAACTGTAAATACAAATGGCTATATGGTTATTTTATTACATTATCTTTATTATTACTTTAACAAACAATATAAAGTACTCCACCGCCAATAATTGCAATTAAAAGGATTTTTCGAGTAATCTTTGCAAACAAAAAATTCATTATGAAATGATTAGATTGTACATATATATTTTTTTTCTTTCTTCAAATGAAATTTTTAAAAAAAGTAATAAATAGACTTTAAATTAGACATAAAATATTTAACTTAACAAATTATTTTTATATTTTAAAATACTTATTCTAATAAATCTTTTTTTTTTCTTAGTTTGGTAATATGATGTTTGTCTGTTATATTTTTTATTCATTGTCTTACATATCAATGTCTTGTTATTTTATTTTATTCCCTTTTTTAAAACATTTTGGGACTTATTTGGTTCCATTGATTTCCATAAGAAAACAAAAAATTAAAATACTGAATAAGAGAATAAATTTATGTAAGATATAAAAAGACAACAATTTTAGGAAAAAAACTTACACGTAGGGGTATTTTTGGGTATTTTTCTTTATTTTACTAATAGTCCAAAATTAAGTAAAATAAAAGGATTATATCCTATAACAAAGGAGAGATCTGTAAAATGTTTACTTTCTATGATTTGAGGAAGATGAGAAAGAATCAAATGGATTTAATCTGCATCTAGAAAAAAATAAAACAGAAGACTCTTCTGTTCAAATGGAAACACAAAAGCCATTAATGATTGCTGTGGTGAATGATATTCATCAAAATATGCATCTTGTTGAAAGAATGGAAAAGTATTGGAAGATTAATAATATTAAAGTTGACTATCTAATTGTTTGTGGCGATTTTGCCAATATGAATGTCCATAATCAAGACAAACCTGATATTGTTGCTAGTTCTATAGATGATTGTAAAAAAATTATTAAAGAATTAGAAAAACTTTGTTCCACTGTTCTTTATGTTCCAGGTAATCATGACCCAACTACTTTATTCCATAATAGTATGCATCACTCAGTTCAATTAACAGAAAATTCTATTAATCTTCATCGTTGTGCTTATCATTTAAAAGATAACCTTGTTGTTGTTGGGTGTGGAGGTTCTGTTCCACAATATGATAAACATATTTGTCATAAGGTTGGATATCCTTATGAAACTGATGAACAATACAAAGTACATCTTAATGAAATTATGCCTGAAGATGGTAGTGTTCCTACAACAAAGATAACTGATAGTTTAATTATTGTTACTCATAATGGACCATCTTGTTCTCATACTGCTTTAAAATTCTCACACAATAAATCTGTTATGCAAACTGGTAGTGCTGCTTTATCAAAATTAATTGAAAATCCTGCATATAAAAGAAGACTTACTTGTGTACTTCATGGACATACTCATGACTCTCAAGGACTTGTAAACCATGAATTAATTCCAATAATAAATGCTGGAGCATTAAAAAGAAATCAAAACTTTGTTGTATTAACTTTAAGAGAAATCAAAGGAAATTGGAAAGTTACTGACACTAATTTCCATTGTTTTGGTTATATCTAAAACAATAATTGTTTTGAACTTATTGAATTTAAAGTTAATTGGATTTGTGTTATTGTCAAATATCTTTAGTTCCATTATAATAAAGCACTCATATCTTCTTCATTTATCTCTGGAATTTCTTGTGAGTTAACTGTATTTGCACATTGTCCCATTGCAACTGGAAGTCCAGAAGTTAATGACTCAAATGCTTTCATTTGCTCTTGACTAATATGAGTAGTAGACATAGTATCTGTTTTAGTTACTTCTTTTTGGGTCATAAATTCTTCATTAAATTGAATTGGACCTGATGGAAGAGCTTCTTTCTTAGCTTTTTCAGCAGCTTCTACAATATCTTTTGGAATATTAATGTCTTTTACTTTAAAGACAATTTCTTGATTACAAAATCTAAATGATGAGTCATTTTTTAACTTTTCAAAAGTCTCAACATCACCTCCTTCATATGCATCCATAAATCTTGCTGCAAAAATATGCTCATCACTTCCAATGAAACATTCTAATTTATCGTCTAATAAGTTTGATGCATCTTGAAGTTTATTATTAATAAAGTAAATCAAAATTTGAGATAATCTATCTCTATTCACTTCATGTTCTTGTTTCATTGACATATGTGCAATAATAGCACTATCAAGAAAGTCAATAGTTTCATTATATAATTTTGCTTTAACTCCAAATGAAATAGCTTTTTGGATGCTTTGACCAATAAACATTGTCTTTTTTATTTCAACAAATTGGTCAATTGCTTTTTTATAAGTTTTAACAGCTTCAACACCATTAATGTGTTCTAGTCCATTTGCTTTCTTAATTAAGCATTGTGGAACTCGTTCTGATTGATTTGTCTCTGCATATAATTCACTTGCAGTGTCAGCTGCAGAAACCATATCCTTCCATTTTTCAGCTCTTAAATAATTATCACTTGCATTTTCAAAATCTCTTGCTGCAGGAAGTGGTAATCGTTCTCTTTGATAACATTCTCCTGCTCTACAAAAATTCTCACCAGCCTCATAAAACATTTGAAGTCCTCTAAAAATATTGGATGCTTTTTCATAACAAGAAGCAGCAGAAGTGTTATCTGGTTTCCATTTAAAGAGACTTGTTTTAACATGTCCTTCAGCTTCTTTAATTAAATTAAGAGCGTCTTGTTTTCTTTTATCACTCATTAATTTAAATTTTAAGTTTAATTTTTTATAGTTTCCTTCTGCTTCAAAAAAAAAAATCTTAATTCCTTAAACAAATCAAATCTGTTTTATCTTATCATTTCCTCAACCTTCTCTATGAAGTCTTTATCTTGATATCTGCTATAATACACTTGACAAAGTTGTTCTTGGTTTGGCTCTATCATTTTATCATTGAAACATGAAAATAAGGAGACTATGACAGATGGATTTGTTACAATAACAACACCTGTCTGTGAATTAGTCTCTCTAAATAAGAAAGCATTTTTATAAAATGAAGAAATGGAATTTTGAAGATATCTAATAAAAGTATTATGAGAGCATCTTCTTGAGATATTTTTAATAATCACAGTGTTTTTAACTTTGTCCAATACATTTCCTTCGCTGTCAAATTCAATTTGTTCCAGTTGTTCTTCGTTTTGATGTTCATTATAATGTTTTACAGTATCTTGTGCATAATGTTGGATTAAATCAATTAATTCAGAAGGAGGAATTATCACTGGTACTTCTCTTGGAATACCAAGAAGATTTGAAACACATTGAAGAAAGATAAGTTTAGAAATGTTTGGTTTTGAAATTTCTATCTTTATTTTTCTTCCATTAATTTCAATATCATTTAATTCTTTAAGAGCAACATCAGAACTTCTTGAATCAAAATACTCAATAAATTTATGATATTTTCTTGATGGAGTTTCACGAATCTCTTTTATTTCTCCATACTTTGAAAAAATTGTTTTAAGAGTTTCATCATCAGTTTGTTTGTCAATATTGAAAATAACCAATGTACCATGATTTGGTCCTTCATTAATGTCTATTGGTATTCCAAATAC